CAGTCCAGCTCAGGCTCTCTCCTGGGACCGCCACCCAGATGCCACCAGGGAGGTGGATGGATTCTCTTCGAGCCCCATCGGCTCAGCTGTGGGTGGGAAGCCTCAGTCCCTCCCCGCCAGGCCCGGCTACGGGGCTGCCTTTGGACCATATGGTTGGCACTCACGGTGACTTGCCGTGGCTTCTGCCACATCCCTCTAGCAGAACCAGCTGGTAGAGGAGGGAAGGGGCTGCACGAGAGTGTGAACCCCAGCAGGGGGGATTATTGGGGGCCACCCTCCAGGCGGGCTGCTCAGTGAGTGCAGGGCAGCGCCAGGATTCCACCTGCTGGCACTCGGGAGAGACAAGAAACTGGGTAAGGGGCAGCTGGTTCTGCAGCCCCAGGCCTGTGAGGCAGAGGGCCGAACCAGTGAGGAGAAAGCGGGAGGCAGCTGTCCCCGATGAGGCCCCTACCGGCTTGTGCTTTCACACTGTGCCTACGCCTGTGGGTCTGGTCTGGAGAAGGGTCTGGGGCAGGAGGGTGCTACAGGCAAGGGAAGACGGCTCTCGAGGCAGGGGCCATGGTTTCCTGCCTCTGCCCTGCAGTCCTGTCGCCACGCCCGAGGCGCCCATGGGTGGACACATGATGACATAGGTACCCAGTGGTTCCCAAACGCCCTGGACAAGTTAACAAGGCCACTCCCAAGGCTCTCCCTCATAAGCCGCACTGAGTGAGAAAGAGAATTTAAGAGTTGGGGAACAGAATGCTGCACAAGACCACAGCCCAGTAACTTGTCCTCCCTAAAACTCCTTTCCCCGCTGTAAAGTGAGCAGACTCTGAGGGCCAGGAGGTGGTATGGTTGGCTGAGTCGTCGGACTCTCACAAGGCTGACTGCAGTTCAAGTTCCGGACCTGGAGGCTTGCTTTCATTCTCTCTCTCTCTGGTCAAATTGAAAAACAACAAATAGGAACCAACAGTTGGTGCAGTAGCTATGTCGCTGGACTCCCATGTAGTCAACAGTGGTTCTAGTCCCAGACCTGGTGGCTTAAACTCACACTGGGCGTGTGTGAATGCATGTCCAAGATCCCGAGAGGAGAATGGAGAAGGGATTGTGGTGTGGTCATCCCCCCAGGGGGTGATTTTTCACTTTCTGTCTTTTTTGTCTAGCAAAAACAAACAAACAAAAAACTCTCAAAAAAAAATTCAAAAAAAAAAAAAAAATTCCAGCAAATAATTCTTAAAAAAAAAACCAAAAACTGAGCAGAGTCCCAAAGCTGGTAAAAACGTCAAAGCTGGAGACGTCGTGTTGGGAGTTGGGAGAGCATGGCACCTCTCCGATCCGTCGACGCAGTCTCATCCCGACTGAGCTGCAGGCTGAGCCCTGCGCTCTTCCCAGGGGTGCATGGAGTAACGGCCTCTCCAGACACCCACTCCCTAGTCGCCACCTGGGGAAAGGTGTATGGAAGGGGGATTAAGGTGGCTGACCAGCTGACCTAAAACAGAGATGAGCCGGATTACCCAGAGGTCCAGGACAGTCATAAGGCCCTACTACAAGATAAAGGTGAGGGCCAGCAGGTGGTGTGGTGGGCAAGGAGGCTGGATCCCACACGGCCAACTCAACAGTTCGAGCCCCAGAGCCAGAAGCCTACAAAACATGCCAGGCACACAGACGAGGCGGGAGGCTGTGGTCATCCTCTCAGGGTGATTCACTTTCACTCTCTCTGCCTCTTCAGCAAATGCACCGCCCTCCGGAGGGAAAATGTGAAGGCGAGGAGCAGAGAAAGGATCAGAGTGGGGCAGTGTGAAGGACTTCGGGGGCCAAGGGAGGCCCTCAGTGCTAAGAAGACAGAGTGTAAGAAGACAGATCCCTCCCAAGAACCATGAGGACAGCAGACCAGCCACCCAGACCTGACACGCCCCCAGGCCTGGATCTCCAGAAGTGTAAGTAACTCCAGTCGGTTTAATGTGGTTTAATCCACTCCACGTGTGACAGCAGCCATCGCTGGGGCTGTAGGGCCCAGAGCAGCGGCCCGGCAGGCAGAGTGCGTGGGCGGGGGTAGGTTAAGTCAGAACATCCGTGTCCATCCTGGGGGGGACATCAAAGCTGTTTTTATTCAAACCGTGGGGAAAGGCAAGCCCCTGGCTGTGGTGTAGCGCAGATGGAGGGCCTCCAGGGGGTGCCCCTGGGTCCTTCATAACTGTCCTTCCTCAATCCGAGCCCTTAGAGTGGTGGGCGGCGGGAAGGCTCGCCCGGGTTCGCAGACACGCGATGGGGCGCGCAGGCGGGGTCTGCGCTGGATCTCAGCCCTCCCCGCTGCCAGCGGGGCTCTGCGGACAGAGGACGCAAGACCTCTCCCGGAGTCGTCACCGCCAGGCCCCGGATGTATCGCTCCGCCGCCACATGCCAGGTGCGCTCCGAGTCCACGCGGCCCAGTCGCCGAAACCACCTGGCTGGACCAGACTCCTGCTCGACTTCCCCCGTGTGGAGCTAAGGTGGGCACGGGTGGAGAAGCAGTTGCGCCCCTGCTCCATGCCAGGCGGCACTCGGGCCGGGCCGAAGCATGGCGACCCCGCACTCACGACAGGGCAGGCCAAGACACTGCTGGCAGCGTGCCGGAGCCACCTCCCACCGCCTGCCGGCCCCTCCACTCAGACTGGCCGTGGCCAGGGACTGGGGGAGTGGACAGGGAGCCAGTATTTAATGGGACAGGCCCAATTTGGGAAGATAAGGAAGATCTGGGGGTGAGTGTACTTGGTGCCACACAGCTGTTCGCTAACACATGGTCCAAATGGTAACTTCTCCTAGCGTTTCACCACAAGGTAAAGACGAAGCCACCCGTTCAAATTCTCACGCAGCACCCCTGGCCTTTGGGGGGGTCTTTGTCGCAGGAACACACCAAGTCCTGTCTGCACCTCCAGACAGCTGCTGGCTCCTGCCAGAGACGC